GAACCGCTTTCTCTCCAAGCCCTACTCTCTCTTGGTTAAAGAGGGAGCAGAGGCCACCACTTTAGGCCAGATGCCCAACTTCCTGATGGCTGAAGTTACACAAGATGAAACATGCCAAAAGCATCCAAGGGTGGGCTTACCCAGGGCAGCTTTTAAGCTAGTTACCTTGGGCACAGACAGAGCGGCAGCTGGACCACAGCACGTACTGGATCCAGCCTGAGAAGGTGGGTAAATGTTTGCTTGTCGGCTTTTGGTGCCACACTGTGCTACTGCAGGTTGAACGAGTACCGACAGCACTCTCCAAAATCAAAGCCGTTCTCCAATGCAGCCACAGAAGTGACCGCAGCACAAAAATATATTTGTACGTGTGGGAACCCCATGCTTTTGCATATGCTTAGTTTTGAAGGAGGAAGAACTGCAGTATCTTTGTCATGATTTCCTAGTAGGGCTGAGAACACTGTTCACACTCACAAGAAAAATGGAGAAGCAAAAGCTGCTTTACAAGCGTATACTTTTGACGCATAAAGCAAAAGAAACTTTTAACAAGCACAGCAGAGTGAAGAAGTACCGGTGCGAGGCGACATGCTGTCCAGCAGTTTCACCATGCCTTCTCCCTGCACCGCCGTCCACTTCTTGATCGGTGATCCACCTCCAATCCTGCTGTACTGCTCCTGGATTTTCGGTGTGCGGCGTTTGGCAATGAATGGTGCTAATTTACTGAAGCATTCAAAAGGCACACGTATTAATATCATAACCCAAATCACCACCCTTTCCCCAAATCTCTCCGCTGCAGTGGGTTTTCCATGGCAATCTCCCCAATTAGAGCAAACCAGCACTGCACGGCTTGTTTAACGTTACATTCCGTCACCCTTCCCAAACCCCCCAGGTGACAGGAAACCACCATTTGCAATTAGAACAGAATAGAGCACGCCTATCTCCAGAGAATTATAACACCGTTTCTTGCACTGACTGGTCCCAAGATGAAACAGTCTTAAGAAATGCTGATATACACAGAAGTTAAGTGCCCGAGCCTACAGCTCAGATGGCAACACCCAACACTGACTGTAACGCAGGAGTTCAGAGTGTTTCTCACTTTTGAGCTGGAAGCGTCATTAGATCCCTGTCCAGGAAGAGACGAAGTAAGAAATCATGCACGTCATCCAGCCGTTCGGGACCTCCCATGTTTAACATCAAGATTCCTGTTTTAGGCTTCCTGTGGAAGCAAGAGATATTTCAAATCCTAGTGACCTACTGCTTTATCATTATTATTATCATAATTATTATTATTACAAAACAATCAGTTCATCCTTCTGCATTTGTCTTTTGCAAAAGCAGCATCCTATTTAGAAGCTCATCCTGCTTATGTAAAAATATGAACTACAAGCATGAATAGGCAGAGAACAAGTAGTTACATGATCTTTACTTTCTATAAAAACGTAATCACTTTGCAACACAGAGTTTAACTGGAAATACACCGAGACAATTATCTCGCAGCTGAAGGCTGTAAGGGAGGTTATAAAACAGGGTCTAAGGAACTCTCTCAGCTGAACGCCAGCTGTAGATTCCAGCCAAACCAAGCAGCAGCTCCCACAGAAATCAGATGAGCTACCCACACGGGTCTCCGTCTTCGTTACTTTGGAGACACAGCTCATCTCCCGAAGCAGCGAAAGCAGCAAAGAGCCATTCTACACCTAAAATAAGTGCAGGGTTGGTTTTGTTTGGGTTGTTGGGTTTTTTTTTTCCCCCCAATGAGTTTTCTATCCAGGTGCAGGTCCAGCACACTGTTTTAAGGATAACGTCCCTCCCAGCACAGCAGAGTGCAGCACATGGCGGTGTCAGCTTTTACACAAACGGTTGCGGATCACAACTCTCACCCAAGAGGTGGATTTCCCCACCGAATCATTGCCCCTGCCCAAGGGAGCCCAGTGACCAGGATCTCTCACCTCCTGAGCAGACGGAGCCAAGGCTGCACAGGGAGTTTGCCCTCCTCTTGTTAAGGCCAAAGTCTTACAAAGGGGCACTGAGAGGAGCCTAGGCCTGCCCCGATGGGTTGGGACCTCAGCTTCCATTCCCTTCCTCCTGGAGTGCCTGTCAGGAGGTTGCTGAATAAAACCCAGGAAGCAGGAACCAGAACCTCACTTAATAATAATATCCTACTGTTTGTTCTTCTGTTGCTTCTGCGCTGCCTCAGGCCTTACCGTGGGCCGCTGCCTCCCTGCGTTCTGCAGGGAACAAGGCAGGCGATCCCTGCCCCGCAGAACTGCGAACACAAGAGGCTCGGTGAATGCAGCCAGCCAGATAAAGGCAATTACACACGCACAAAAAAACTAGACCAAGTCCTGCGACTGCCACGTTTTACTACATAACCAGCTTTGTTATGCAAGTAAAGCAGCATACCATATCGGAGGGAGACAGAGGGCAACGACAGCAGGTCACACCCACCCAGACCTCACTGCAAACTTACCGCACTTCTGGCTGAATTTGAGGTTTTGTGCTTTCCGTCACTGCGGCGGCAGTTGCCTGACCTCTCCATCGTACCGGGACCCTCAGCTGACTGCTGCTTTTGACAACTGGAAGAAAGATAACAGCACACTGATAACCTTGCAGCGGGCTGAGGGGCCTCTTCACCAAACAGGCACTAATCCCCCAACAGCTACATCAACACGCTTGGCAGTACCGCGCTGCTTGGCGTTTTCTCCCTTAAGCTCCAGGTCCTGGAATCAAAGAAAGTCATGAAATTGCAAGCTTCTGCCTTTCTTTAAACACTTTGTGTACTAACAGCTTTTCAGACACCAGGCAGTAACCTAAAGCCAAACAAAAACCTCGCTAATCTTTAGGCTCAGATCCTAAGTCCAAAATAACGGGTGACAACACAAGAGAAACTATGCAGGGCTGACACACTAAGGAATCAAGTATGTCAAGCTACGTAACAGCTCATGGTACAGACAGACCTGGGCTAACTCTAGACAAGCAAAATATTTCTGCACCACCTCTACAATGCAGGTTAGACATTTGTTAATTTAGGGTCCCCGGCAAACTTCAGCAACGCAGGCCAGCGCCTGGGAGCCATAAGCACGCAGCTCCTTAGTTTGACCCTGTGTCGGGTACCCTGAGCAGCAATTTCAGAATCCATTTACCCAGGGACGCGGGCAGCCTTCTTTCTCGCTACCCAGCCAGGCGACTTCTATTATTCCTGGATTTCAGCATCAGCCAAAACCCAGGATACTTTAGAAGTCAAGTCTTCCCACATGCTGGTTACAGCCTGCTTTTTCAAAAGCACGCTTTGTTTTCCTCAGGAGCTCATAGTCATTACGTGGTATTTTTTAGCACAACAATAGTGTGAATTGCCCAAGATGAAAAAAATTGTTAAATTCTGCATCCCCAGCTCTCCAGCAATCGTTTGGTGCGACACTTCCCTGGCCAGACTGCAGGAGTTCCAGCAGCAACTGAGCCCCAATAGCACAGACCTCCGCAGCGGCCGATCCCCCCGCCGAGAAGAGCATCTTACGGTTCACAGGTCCCTAATAACATCCTGAACAGATGCCGAACGCCCTCTAAACCTGCCGAAATCAATGACAGCGAAAAGCATCTTGCAAATCCAGCTTCTTACTCGGGATTAAGAGGGTGTAGCTGTGGATGCCTGGGTCTGCAGTGATATAAAAGGCTGCAAACCAAAGAACTTCAAGCATCGCTGAGGCCTGAAAGACTCTTTTCAAATATTTATATTCTTCTTCCAGTTCTTAGGGTATTGCTTTTTGAAGCACTGACACTATATGTTAATTACACAGAACAAGGAAAAGAGACGTTTCAATGGCTGTATTGATCCTGTGCTGTAAATAAATACTGGAAAGCATTTGCTTTACTTCAGGCGAGGTCTGGGCACGTTTCCATCTGCACCATCAAGCACATGACACAGAACGCGCAGGACGCGCGATGACGATGATTCCAGCTCGACCGAGCATTGACAAAAGCGTGCTTTTATAAGTTTTGGAAACGGCATTATCGTATTAGCCTCTGGAGCCAAGGCCTGACAAAACCGGTCCCCGGCGCGCGCCCGCGCTTCCAGCGGCCGCCGGGGAAGCCCGGGAGGTCCGTGAAGTTACGGCGGGTAACGCGCTCCGTTTGCAAAGAGCAAGGCGAAGCGCTGCTGCTGAAGGGGCCCGCGAGACCGACCGCGCGTTGCAAAACCTGCGGCACGCACCTACACCGCGCACTGGGAGCACTGGGAGAGCCGGGCAAGTGACTTGCAGCTGTCTGTTACCCACACCTCCTCCCCACCTGCCCTTATCGTGGCAACCCAACCGGCGAATTGCTGAACACGGATGATTTTTACACAAACGCTTTCTGCAAAGGGAAACGCCTCGCTTAAAATTCGACTCCGGGCGGGGGGGAACCAAACAACAAAAAACCGAGCCCGACGGCAGCAAACGACAAAACTCTCCCAGACGACAGGATCGACAGGATCGACAGGATCGCAAGGATCGCAAGGATCGCAAGGATCGCAAGCCTCGCCGCCCGCGCGGAGGAACGACCCCCGTGAGCCTGCCCGGCGCTGCCCAGCCGCGCCGGTAACGAAGCCCGACTCGCTTCCAGGTCCCCGCAGCGCCGTTACCGACGCGACCCCCGCGGCGGAGGCAGGCCCCCCGGCTCCCA